ATGGTTGCTTTTTTTATACAAAATAGGTATTCTGAAGCCAACCATTACTGTTTATTTTATGCTTTTTCTAGGTGATTGTACCGCATATTGCTAATGAACTCTGGAGTGCTTTGTGCTCTGTTCCAGCTATAAATGAAAGTTTGTGGAACAGAAACAGCGTCGTTAGCGAACAAAAATGGCCCATTCCTGATTCAGATGCTGAAACGGAATTTATGCTAACAGTTGAGATCATACATTCAAGCTTCTTTACCTTTCTAGAGTATTCTTAACAAACTCCAAATGAATAATTCTTTAGCCACTTTGCTGGTTTAAGATTAGTTTATTAAGAATGAATGAAACTGAACTTTTTTAATTTGCTTGTTGAGCGCCATCTGCCTTCCAACATAAAAAACATAGACATTTGCTTTATAGGCGCTGCGCCTTAGCTGTGGTCGCTGTTCTGTACCACGATCGGTAATTGAGAATTGTAGTGCTGAAGAGGCTTTGAAGTTATCGAAGGAGAAATATCACCGGTTATTTTTTGATTTGCTAGCCGAATCTGGTCATGAACCAGTTACTTGTAAAGCTAAAGTACATAAAGGTTTGACTTTTTATATTTTTGCATTTTCTTGATTTATTGTCATTAGCTGAGGCAGTTTTTTAGCTATAAATTTCTTAGATTTTGCTTTGAACGACAATTATTTCTTACTTTTAAAGTTAGTCTTCGAACATATATGATTTTGAAAATATCTAAAAAGTGGTAGTTAATGGACAGATTGACAGTTGCGTTTCGTTAATTTTGGCCTAATAATGGTCGGATGCTAATACTAGTAAAGTGAATATTGTCATTTTCAGGACTATTGTATATTCTGACACTGAAATTCGACAACAGTGTTAGTGAAAAGGATCTGAGTAAAATACTGAAAGTTGTTTCAAGAAAAAGGAAACAGTTTCAGTAGATTAACTGCTGCTATAATGTAGGAGACTATAACATCTCAAATAAATATTATAAATGGACGTACTGTTTCAACGTTAAAGACTCTACATTCATAATTTTATGCTTACTTTTACACGAAAAAAACAAAAGTAATATAAGCAATAATAGTTGCAAACTGAATTTTATCCGTATATTATTTTCAGACGGTAATTCGAGATGTTATGAAAGTACACTTTATTTAGATTAAAAGTGAAAGAGTTCTAAAGTAGACTGTTTTTTGTTTATGATTAATTGAACAAACATCAATTTTCATCGTGATGAATGTTCCGGAAGATCTCGTGTGATACATAAATTTTTCACTTCTGCAATTAAATGGAGCATTCACTATAATTAAATGTTGTTAATGAGCGACTACATGAACGGCATTTATGAAACCCGTTTTAAATTTATTAGTGATCTACGAAAACGCTGAATTTTTTATCAATTTTTTTGCCTATTACCTGTAGTTTTTCTTGCACCTGTTCACTAATTGAAGGTTTGACCCGCTGAAGTTATAATAGTTTGGTTTGCACTAAAGCTTTTAAAAATGCTTAAAGGTAAAAAAGTCGATTTTTGGGAATCTTTACGTTGTAAGACGGGGTTGATGAATCAATTTTTGGAATTTATTGCTTCGGATTTTGAAAATCCTGAAAATACTGAGCTTTCATCTTTAACCATTGTTTATTCTAAAGTTATTGGTTTTGTTTCCGTCGAAAAGTTAGCTATTTAGCTATAATAAAATAGGAAACGATTGTGCCGATAGATATTTAAGAAAATGATGATTTAGCAGGTGCTAAACAATATTCATTTTCTTCAGTAAACATGAGAAGATAAATGAAGTAGTGTTCTGTTGGAGTACTTTAAAAAAAGAGCATAATTCTAGAATCCTGCAAAACATTTATTCCTTCAAATCGCTATGGTCGATTTTATGGTGGGTGCGTGTTCGATCATCTCCATTCAAACGCAATACGCTTCTCTGTTGAAAGCGAACCAATACTATAATGAAAAGCTGTTTTTACATTTTTCTGATGAAGAGTAAACATTGCGTTAAACATCGTTTTGTGATATTCTATTAACCCCCTGAAGAGAATAAATTTTTTACTTTTCAAACAGTAGCTCAGTGCTGGAAGACACCAGAAACTCTTAAGGGAGAGATGAAAATTTTCAAACAGACATTTAACAGTGCAGTAGTGATACTCAAGTTTTTTCTGTTAAAGAAGAATAAGTAAAAAGGCAAAAGCAGATTAAAAGAAGATGAATCTGATGTAGGGAAAATAGTATACACGTTGCAGTTAACAACTATTGCCTTGAAACGTCGTCTTCTGCTGAGCTATTTTAACATTTAAACAATACTCCACGAGGATTATCCGAAATGCAAACTCTACTGATAGTTGAAAATAATAAATGCTGACTCATCGTCAACAGATTACACGTAACTTCGATATCTTACCGTAGTTGCAAGGCAGTTACTGTAACAAATTTAAAGAAAGGTTACACAATTTGTATTGTAACTGGAAAAAACGAACTCGAATTGCAAGCAAAAAGAAGCATCAAGAAACTTTATTGTTGTAATATTAATAAATGCAATAAGGATTGATATTTGCTCAGTTTTTTAGTCAAGAGGTGCGGTTGAAAATTTTGTTGTGATTGAACTTTTAGCAGTTGACAAGTCAATTGTAGTAAAAAATCACAAAGAGATTGAACGCTTGGAAATGGTATCTTTGAACATCATAGGTCTCATGACAAACTTTTAAGATTTTACTGCGAAAAATATTAAAAGATTATCAAATAAAAGTTGACTCTTCTTTTATTTTTTTCAAACTTCTCACTAAATTTTTTACCACTTTTTTTTAGAACTCTAAACCTCTAAAAAACAAGGTATCTATGCTTTGTAAGGATAATTAGCAAAACCCCTTCAGACAGATCAGCGTGCATTCGAAAGAAGTACGAGACAAAGAATGACGTTAATTTTAGCGAACTGTCAAAGCAGACCTCTAAAGCAGTAAAGATGAGAAAAATATTGAAAGTATATGAATAGGCAAGAAGGTAAACTGAAGTTCATCGAAAGGTGAACAAATAAAAAAAGCTAACGCTGTCGGGAAAAAAGCAGCCTTTCTAGAAAACCAAGAAATTTATTGAAATTTTTTAACAAATTAAGTACATATTAGATCTGACTAGACTTATTTGGTTGCCTTATATTTGTTCTCATAATATAACACGTTTGACGAATCAAAACTGACGGCAAGAAATGCAAGTTATATTCTATTCTTTCCAGTCTCTGCTAAACAAATCTGTTGACGTAAGAGGAAAAATGCACTAAAATAAACTTCTCTTCATCCACTGTAATAATGAAGTTCAAAAAATTATAATCAAAGCCACAGTTAGCATTAAAAGTGGTAATGTGTGAGAAAAAGAATTTCTAAATGCGAAGAAATCAAATAATTTTCTGCTCATAATCAAAGTGAAGTAGAAGCAAAGAAGTTTAGGCAGTTTATCAAATACTCAGTACAACCAGATACAGCCAATATTACCCAAACCTTAGACGGTAAAATTTTAAGCTGCTAAGTGAAAATGAATGATTGGCTAGGTTGGTCTACTTAAATTATTCTTTAAATTCTTACAGTAGTTTTACAACGGCAGTTCTGCTTAATAAACAAACGTGCCTGCCGTTGAAGAGAGCCTTTAAAAATTTGATTACTTGCTCTTAAATTGCCAATTCTAGGCAACTCCTACTGCAAATCCGTTAAAATTATAGTAAAATTTATGAGAATTATTACTAACTCTACGAAGAGCTGTTTTCGGACACATCAGATAAAAGCTGACTAATTCTAATTTTTTTAATGAACATTTCTGGAAGGTCAAGCATTTAAATCTTCCAGACCTCTAAAGAAAAAGTGGCAGCTTTAGTTGCATCAACTGTCAATTACTCACTGTTTCATCTGTAAAAAGCAAGGTTTTTGTACAGATGAATGAAACTGTGAAACCCATAATTTATTCAACGAAACACTGTTAACTATTCTTAAAAAAAGAGTTGAAACAATTGAAGAAACTCATCAAGCATCTTTCAAATGCTCTCAAACTTAAAACCAATTAAATTATGTCTCGTATCCTTTTCAAAATAATACTATTTTAACACCAGAGTAGTGCTGAAGACTTAGCAGAGAGAACAAAAATACCAAAATAATACCGTCGCCATACTTGAAATTTTTTTTTGAGATTCTCCAACACAGAAAGATTTTGTTATAATTGCCTTCCCAAAACTTGCTTATAATCACTAAAACCTATCAGCCACATATAGGCAACACTAAATTTCTCACCCTAATTGAAGGGGTCATAAAATGCATTATTTAGAAAGCGTGTTGAAGTAGTCTTGAATCACACGTGTCGATCCTTTGTTCAAAACTGTGCACATCTCCAATGCTGCTATCACTGTTGTTTCAAATGAATATTAAGAGCAAAAAAATGTTCCTTTCGTAGGTTTTTTTAACAAATTCAATAATATGCAGTAAGAAATTCCGGTTGGTAAGTGAATTTACAGAGTCAACAAGACACCTACAAAATTGATTTCTTGTGATGAACTAAGAGCACCGTTGAACCATGTGAACAGGTTATGAATTAGTTTTTGAGTTACAAATAACTGTTCAGCTGTCTGCTAAGAATGTCATTATCCACATATTTACGTGTAAAGAATAAAACAGTACATGTCTTCAACAATCAGTTACATTCAAAAGAAGAATTGCTAAGAAAATTGACACTCAAAGGTAATCGCTGTTTACCTTTTAATTTGGATAATTTCTGCCTTCCTAAATCCTCCCTCTTGTGAACTCTTCATACACATCTGTTGTACATAATTGATGAAATAAAGTAGAGAAAGCGTTCCTCTTTGAATTAACTTTTAACAAATCCTGCTAAACCAAAAAATCATACAAATGTGCAGTGGTTTTCAAACCCTTTTTATCACTAACCGTACTACCAAAGCCTCTCAGTAAAACTTATTGTTGATCCCTAAGTATTTCATTTTAAAACCAAGTAATTAGATGCAACAAAAAAATTAAGCTTTTTGTCTTGAGTGAGTTTCAAAACCTAGTTACAATACCATTCAATTTTTGCAGTGAGAAGCAAAAATGACACTGAGCTGCAGCACCGGAACAATAAAAAAATGGTTGATACCGTAGTTCTCTGTAGAGCCACATTACAGCTAATAAAATTTTTAAAAGCAAAATCAAAGTATAAATTTAGTTTTTTTTTTTT